TAGTGGATGTCGATATCATATTTGCATATGTACCAGTAACAAATATTGGTAAGCATTTATACAAGGGAGGCGTGTTCATTACAACTGCCAGTATGAAAAATGTACAGAAAATGACATGTCCAGTCCCAATAGATAAGGATTATGTCTTTGAACACGCCATCAAGAAATAAATCAATTTAAATGTTATGATTTATTGTAAATTGATCCATGGTTTTCTTTTTTGAGAAGAACGATTTTGCAGACTAGGGTCACGTTATATCTATTTATAGTTAAACCAGTTTTGCTACATAGTTGCAATAGAGCATAAACAATTCTGCAAAAAAAATACTACAGTGTAAATTTATTCTGCCAGTTTGTAACCAATGTACGTGATTCTAATTTAATTACCATGGCAACTTGCTAAAATACACGTAGCCGTCAATAAGCGTATTTTTAGTCCCCGTTCGGACGAAATTCCGTCCGTCCGTCCGTGTGGAGCTATATCTCGGACACCCATTGACAGATTTGGATTGATGATCATACATATTGGGTTGTAGGTGCACGTCATTTTTGTTCGTGATTCGAACAAATATGGCCGACTGGCGGCCATCTTGTTTTTCATGGTACCCATGCTATTTTATCTTGAATGCAATAAACGTTTCTGTTTAAATTTTGTACAAAGATAGTATATCAAGAGCTACCAATATGATATGCACTTATATGATTGTTGTGATTCAATTAAATATGACTGGCCGACGCCTAATTTTCATGTAAAAACTCTAAATCCTCATTTTTACATGTCCGGGGCTGTTTCTCAGAGGTGACTGAGCTGATTCGGATCATACTTGGTATTATGATCATACATATTTGGTTATAGGTGCACCTCATACTTTTTCCGTGATTCAAACAAGTATGGCCGATTGGCGGCCATTTTGTTTTTCATAGTACCCATGCTACTTTGTCTTGAATGCCATGGACGTTTCTGTTTAAATGTTGTACAAAGATAGTTTACCAAGAGATACAACTACACCATCATTATTTTTGTGATTCGATTCAATATGGCTGACAGACGCCCAAAGTTCATGTAAAAGTGCTAAATCGCCATTTTACATGTCCGGAGTTGTTTCTCGGAGATGACTAGGCCGATTTGGATCAAAGTTGGTATGGTGATCAAACATATTAGGGTATAGGTGCACATCATATTTTGTCCGTGATTCGAACAAATATGGCCGACTGACGGCCATTTAGTTTACATGGTACCCATGCTACTTTCTTTTGAATGCAATGAACGTTTCTCTTTAAATTTTGTACAAAGACAGTATACCAATAGATACATCAACATGTACATTATTTTTGTAATTTGATTCATCATGACTGCCCAATGTCCAATTTTCGTGTTAAAGCACTGAATCATATTTGTTTACAAATCCATCTCCTATTAATGGTTTTAATCTAATCTCAATGACATCATCAGCATCAAATTAATATGTCAGATCACAAAATTTTGGACGGGGACTTTGTCATTAACAATGACTTGTTACTTCTTCATTTCTGAGTTTAAATCGTCAAATTTGTTTAGACAATTTATCAGAAAAGGGTTTAATTAATCTACAATTTGTAAATGTTTACACTACGTAAATTATATGTTCTAACGTTCCTCGGATTTAGAAACAATGCTTTTTAGTTGTTATACTGCTCCCTTCGAGAATGTATTGTTCCCTTATGTCTTACGATAAATCGTGTTTGCAAATGATATTCAGTTGTACATTACGTCCGAGGTGGCGCTGTATAGTCAAACAGATTATGTGTGGCCAAAATCCATGTCGAAATGCAGGCGAATATGAGTACTCTCAACAATGGTAAATTATTCTTCAAAATTTTGAGGTAGTTCTGTGTCATCTCTCTTTGTATTGAGATGATAGTCTAGTGCATTCGTCAAATACAGTATGCAATTTTAGTGTTTTTATGGATGCACCATCTCTCATCATATGACCGTTATTTGTAAAATAAGCAACATATGCATCGTGGAAAATTGATATGATTCGAAATATTTTGGATTTCGATTACTGTAGCAGTGTTTTATATGGTCTCCAGAGTTTGAAATAATAAGGTGGAAGTAAATTCAGAATTCAGCAGCAACTCTTGTAACTGGGCATAGAAAATTTGACGCAATTACTCTAATATTAAAACAATAGGTGATTTACGTTCACTACGAAATCTCGCGTATTGCTCGAAAGGCGCAGATCGAACGCCGGTCACTTAAAATGAACAATTTGATTTTTGAGTTTCATTTTTCTATGTCAAAAAATTCCAATCTTTAAAAGGGGAATATTGTGATAGCCTCACTTTTCAAAAAAGACCGTCATCAAATGTGTATAGCACATAATAAGAATGAAAATATCCCTCTAAATACTTTTTTGAATCACACACGTTGTTCTGACGTCACTACAACGCGGTGACCTTTGTTAATCCTGTTTTTATATTCAGTTTCTTGCGACATGTAGTGAACGAACAATTGTCTATTACATTGGTAGAGTTATATTGCGTAAGCTTGAAGTTTATTGTGGTAAATGTGAGAAAAGATGGCCTCTTAGTTCAAAGGTTACTACTGCTAAATGTGGTCACACTCAAAAGTGCCAATTTTGTCATACAATGAAACTTCAGTACCTGTGGTTATTGAGTATGGAAAGATGGTGGGTGTGGCTAAGACTGTTATTGGTATTGAACAATGCAAACAATGGGAATTACACAATGGGACTAATACAGTAAATCAAGTTCTGTTGGATAAAATCTATAAATCCGAATATGGCAGTATATTTGTTTACTACACACTTATTGGTTTGTTCTTGTGTTTCTTTTTTCTTGTTTGTGTATATGTAATTTTAGAGTGTAATACAATTAATTTAAATATAATAATAGCAAAAAAAGCATCAAAAAATTCCATACATCGTATTCCAAATCTGGCACGGTGGCATTGTGCCATTAGAGGTCAGTCAGTTCTTGATAATTATTTTGATAATAATCTATGTTGGTCAAAATGATTAAAAAGAATGGATGAATAGTATGTGTCTGTGTTGACTACAGGTGAATGAACAGTCCAAATACACACGGATATCATTGTGTTGTCTGGTAGGAATGGATGTGAGACATGTGTCTTTGGTATAGCGGTGTCAGGTGGGATTATTATCGACAGATGGTGGAATTAAAAATAATTAGAGAACTATTAACATTGCTTATTACTTTAAATTGTATTCGGTAATACCGAGGAACATTAGAAGTTGTTTACGATTACGCAATCACAACACCCACATGGTTCACCGATATTATGTGCGTGATATAAAAACTAAACCACATTCAATATATACAATTATTCCCTGCAATGACTGCATTGACGTTTCATTAACTCAGTTTTACTTCTCAATGTACTCAATTCAGAAGCCATGGAAAAGATACTACTGACTGGAAACTATACCTTGAAATCGATGAAACCAATAGACCTATCCAACACTAATAAAGAGTAAGTTATGCACGTCTATTGTACGAATATTGCATTGTTACAATTTATTTGTGTGTTAATAGAAATTCGCTTTAGAATTGTGATTTCTTTCTTAACTATCTTGATTAGTTCAACTTTAAATTATTTGCAGGGAAATAAAAGCCTACTTTGAGAATGCATTTGAATTAAACGAAAGCATATTCACTGGTCTTAAAGGTAGGTGCTTAATGTTTATAAAACTTATTTAAGTGATTATAATTGTGATCATACTGCCATTCTGGTTGAGCTATCGGTATAAATTACTTTCAAAGCAGTTTTTGTATTCCATGAATTTAGAAAATAAACTGTTAGAACCATTGTTTGGATAAAACATGTCCTTCACCGAATAACCTAACCAATAACCAAATAACCAACAATCCTAGTATCGAGAAGTTGCGTGTGCAACCACGTACAGTCCCTATACACAGTCAGCTGGCGTACAAATGATAATAAAATAAATGCGATTAATTTCCCGATATGTACTATATAAAAGCCGCCATCTTGAATACAGCATGAAACTAAATAAATAAGGAGACAAGTTGAAACGCGTTATTCAGATTCCTACAAATCAGGAAAAATATACCAAACTTTTTGGTCAAACAGGGTATTTGAAACCGAAATCGACATATAACTGTAAGGTAGTTGCTGATTAGTTCCTGAGTTTGGATTAAGATTCGCGTTTCAAAACCCCGGTAAAGTATTTTAGGTTCTTTGTGTAATTATTTGTTCGTATGCAAGAGATTTTTCCATACAAAAACGATAAAATTCGGACGAAGGTTGTTAGCGGTTGCCTTAATGTTGCCCAAACGAAATATATACTGCGTACACAAATTAAAACATGCGTCAGTCATTCGAACATATTTCACAGTTTTATAACTCATATATTTGTTCAATTTCAGATGCTTCTGCGTTCTACAAGTGTCCGGACCGATTACGTCTGCCGTTGATATTTTACTACGCGCACACGGCTTCGGTGTATGTGAATAAATTACTGCTTGCTGGAATGATCCAGGTAATGTGCATCGGGACATCAAGGTGTGGATCAGAATCTAGTAATGAAAATGAATACATTGGCCGCGTGTATTCATTTGTTGTATAGAATGTTTTCTATTTTTTTTCATTCAAGGTCATTCCATGATGAGTATGGTGACACATTAGACTTGCTTGCAGTCTGTTGCGATTCCGATGAACAAATTATGAAAAATAAATATAAATTTTATATTTATATATTTATTTTTCAAGAATTTTTCATCGGAAACGCAACAGATTGCAAGCAGTCTAGTGTAACATATAACTACACTAGATGCGCTTGCCCGGTAGAGGGCACCACTTATAAAATCGTTTCATTCAATGTTCTTCTTCTATTCGCGCAATCAATCCAAGTTAGCGATGCTTGGTTTTCGATTGGCGAATTTTCTATAGATTACCAGACTTTCGCTTGGCCCTTGAAAAATCTACAAATTTTGACATTTAAAAAAAAATATTTTTTTTCCTGTGAATTTGAAATAAAACACCACATTTAAACATTACATATCGTCCAAGATATATTAAAAACAAAATAATAAAAAATATGTATCTTGTATGCAGGAGCGTGTTGATTTCAAATTTGAGACTATATTTGAAACTGGCGTGGATGAAATGTCGTGGGATGATACGGTAAGTGATATTCCTCGGTATTGCCATTCTACATTCTCTACAAATGATATATCCAAAGACACAAAAACATGTGTTTTCATAATCTGAAAATGCATAGAGACAAGCGTACAGTAAACGCATAAAAAACTGCAATGCTGTTCTGTGCTCACTATTCCTTAATTACATATTTAGTTATTTATGTAGGATGTCTTATTCCGCAATCCAGATTTCATAATACGTACATTACGTGTATACTGAATACATATAATGTATTGTTTTCATATTACTCGCTATAGGTGTTTAGTAAATCATGTATAATGTAATATTCCGTAATCTAGATTTTTTTATATTACTAGCTTTACGTGTTTAGTAAATCTTATAGGATGTAATATTCCGTAATCTAGATTTTTTAATATTACTAACATTAAGTCTTTAGTGAATCATATAGGATGTAATATTCCGTAATCTAGATTTTTATATTACTATCTTTACGTGTTTAGTAAACCATGTTAGGTGTAATATTCCGTAATCAAGGTTTTGTTTTTATATTACTGGCATTACGTGTTTAGTAAATCATGTAGGGTATATTATTCCGTAATCCAGGTTTTGTTTTTATATTACTAGCATTACGTGTAAATTCGGTATAATGTATTACTCCGTATATAAGTTTTTCATAATTCTTGCATGGAGTTTTAATAAATCATTTGGAATGTGTTTTTGATGTTGTTGATATCATTCTGTATCATGCTGCATATGCTTCACGACATTTATTATTTATACGTATTAGGAAAATTACCGAATGGGTGGTAGTTTTAAGTGGCCCACGCTGACGGAGGTTACTATGTATCGAAGGAAAGTGAGACAAATGGTACTAAAAACTATACAAGATACGCCACTGGTACTACCCATACACCAAGAAAGTGAATGGGTAGGGATAAACATTACGTAACGTTACATTGTGGTATAACAGCACATTGTAACGTAAACACTCGACATGGTATAAAATAACGCAACTCAACGCAATCTTGTATACGGCTCAACAAATCTGTTCTAAAGTTTCTTAAAAAAGAAAAGAACATTCTGATCGCGGCCTTTGGAACTCACATGTGCGTCGACCAAAAATGAAATACAGCATCTGTATTTTTCTTTCGTTAACACCGCATGGATTAAATTGTTACACAAACTAACGGACATGGACGATTTTATTTATTTAATCAGTGGGCATTGATAATGGGAATAGAGCATGAACGAATTCATATTGAGACTTCATCTGTATTGATAAGACAGCTACCAGTGGAGTTTGTACAGATTCCACGAGATTGGAAATACGCTCCATACTCAGTAGGTACGTTAAGGTGCACATGCTTTATTAGTGCACATGCGTACGATACAATATTAAATGTGTTATACACGCAAGGTTAACGTAATAAATTCTGGAAACGGCCAGTTTCGTCTAAATTCGTTCATTTCATCTGACATAATAATGTGTTAAAGCTTTAAATTGCAGGTGATGGTTTGACACGTAATTCTATGATTTTGGTTAGTGGAGGTGACGTCACGTTGGGAAAGTGTGTGAAGTTCCCATCATTTGGATGGGACAATGAATACCCAGAATTCAAAACAACGTAAGCTTATAATAACCTGTAATATGTCTTTTTTTAACGTGATCAATTTCTCACAACGTGTTCGAAGTGCCAATTGAATACTGCGATCGCATTATTCTTAAATGTAATCGCCTGATATGTTCTTCGTCCTAACGATGTTGCAGAGTTCCTCCGTTTGAAACAGCACGTTATTTGATCACAAACAGTGAATTCTATCAGTTTGTCCAAAATGGAGGTTACACGAAAAAAGAATTCTGGACGGAAGACGGCTGGGAATGGAAGACGTTTCGACAAGCTACACATCCAGCATTTTGGGTGTGTACGAACGGTAAGCGTAAGACTCTCAAGATTACGGCAATCTATTGCCATAGTCCCCGTTAACGTAATCCAAATAGTACGACTATTGGTCATTGCAACAGAATAATTACTATATAGTAAAATAAACTAATAATACATTTATAAAGAACAATAAATCGATAAAACCCTGTTCCTAGCCCAAATTAAGCTAATTTATAAGTTCTTAAGTTGTGTGTCTCATCCAGGTGTGACTTAATGCATATATGCTTTACTGTTGAATTGTAAGGAATTCGCTGACAACTGTGTTAGAATCTCTTGTCTCCAAACTTAAAATTAAGAATGTTCCAGGTGCACACGGCTTGGTTTATTCTTCAATCCTTGAACACCTCGGGCATCACGCATCGCCTATCCCATCTGACCATTCTTTGACTATTATTATTTGTGGCATTCCGTTTATTGCAAACCAAGAAATAGGGGAACTTCAGAGGGCAGTATGGAGACTGCTCGTGTTTTACTTCAGATGAATATGAACAAAAGGGCGCCACTAATTAATATCCAGATCCGTGCATTTTTGTCGTGAATTTTCACTATTCTTTTTTTTTTGTCAAACTGATTTTCCTTTACAGGCTGTAAATCTGGTTGTGGAGGAGACATTAGTAATGTTACCCATTGTAGACCCAATAATTGCGATGACAGCTACACTTCAAGCAGCGGGTCTTACAGGCAAGTGGTATTGTCTTGATGCATATATATTATATATATATAAATTCATAGTCGTTTTCGCATTTAGTGAGAAATCCCATCGCTCAGAGATGAGTGAAACAAACTTACAATGATATTGGGGGAATTAGTTTATCAAGTTTAAACTTCACACATACATCATGCGTCACGTCTTTCATATGCACATACATGTGTATGACTTGAAGGGTCATTTTGGAACCTGGTCTCAATCGTGTATGAATGAATCTGTTTTAAAATTGGTATATACGAGGCACGTTCAATAAGTAATGCCCCTGACCCATTTCCTATAGCAGGAGATTAATGAAACTTGGCACAGTTATTAGTCTGTCTCTACATAGAAACCACCCAGAGTTATGCATTTCTCCCATCGTTTGATGCAGCTCTGGACACCGTTTTCGTAGAACACCCCAGGTTTGTCCACCAACCACGTCGTAACTTCAGAAATCAAGGCTGCATCATATGGGAAACTCTTTCCTTTCAAAAACAACTTCATGGCTGAGAAGAGATGAAAGTCAGAGGGTGCAAGGTCAGGGGAGTAAGAGGGATGAGGAGGATTTCATAGTCACACGCCCATGCATCTGTCCTGGCTTCATGCGAGTTGTGGACTGGAGCGTTGTCCTGCAGGAGGAGGATACCTTTGCTGATCTTGCCCCGCGTAATATGCTCTTGTAATTGTGGTAACCTTTGCCAGGAAATCTGTCATCACTACTCCGTCCTTGTCCCAGAAGACTGTGAGCATGACATTGCCAGCGAAGGGCTGCACCCTTGCCGTCTTTGGGGGTGGTGCGCCCAAGTGCTTCCACTGCATTTACTGGGCTTTGGTCTCTGGATCTTAGTGATGAACCCAAGTTTCATCCTGTGTAATCAGTCTTTTGAAAAACTTTGACTCATCTTCTTGGCACATCTCCAAATTCATCCTCGAGCACTCGACGCGTTCTTGCTTCTGGAAAGGTGTGAGCAATGGCTCTTTATCCGTAGCATAGACAAAATATCTTTTCTGTCCACATTATATCAATTCACACTAATTGCTATATAACACAATTGTTGACAGTCACTAAAAACTGGGCGGGGACTACGTTACTAACAATGACTTGTTATATGTGAAACGACCAGAAATAGTCAAATTAACATTATCGTTAAATACATACATACAATATGACATAGTGTAACTATGCAATTAATCACTTTCAAAGTGCAAATCAAATCTCAGTCTAGCTTCGCGAAAATGACTAGTTCATGCGTCGACGGCTGTACGCCATGTATAATAATGTACTCGAACAGTAGGCCGTCGCATCGACCTCCGCTGCGCGTCGGTCGATTCTTCCGCTGTACAGTACTGTCTTCGTGCATACTTTGAGGTATCCTCGTAAACCTCATATTAGTACCAGCCGCTATGCGGTTTCACTTTTTATCATAGCTTCACTTCGATTTTTTGGAAATAAAAACTCCTTGATCTATGCCCAATTGACTAATCATATTACTTGATTTTTTGGAAGATATAAAATATTATTTCATGTCTTTCTCACACGGAACTGTCATAAATTATGAAATGATAATTGTTTAATCTATTTATCAACATGCTTGTTAATTGTCGCTATTGTACAATACACTAACATAATAATGTTAAACCTGCAGATACCGCGCTATATTCAGTGTCATAGACATGCCGTGGGACTGGCCAGTGGATGTGAACTATCACGAGGCCAGTGCGTACTGTGCATGGAAAGGCCCCGAATACAGAGTACCAACCGAAGCAGAACACCATGCCATGAGAGGAAAGCAGGTAACTATCTTGTTTATAATAGAATATAGACTGGATTTTTCAGTGGATAGTTAAAGCGCCAAAGGCGTCTTGTCGCGTCGTTCTCGAAACGGGGAGGGGGCGCACCTATTGACGTGGACCATGGCCACCGCACATCACAAACTGCCAATTATATTTTTTTTTGCGGGCTGACGCGCCTTCCTCTAAATCCGCGCGTAATCATGCGACGTGTACAACGAGCGTTTATGCGAAATTCAAACGCGCGACGACTGTGTTGTTTCAAGAACAAATTATCACGTGTTTTTGTCTTAAATGTGTTATGTTAGCAGTAGTCATACATTTTTGGAGAACACTGTTTTTAAACTATTTACAATGTTAATTAGCTTAAAATTGCCATGTTCATGTTTTGTGTGAAAAGTAGTTCGATTACCATACTTTTTGATCTTGATTTTTTGACCGACAACATAAAATCAAATCACAAAGTGTGGTGTGTTAATGACAACCAGCTACCTGAAACGCAGTCTGTGAATTCTGCATTTAATCATCTAAACCACAACAAATCATATTTTTTTAAAGTTTCTGAAAGACAACAAAAATACCCGATACATTTCAGTAATGTTGGTATAAAATTTACCACCCTGCATTTCACTCTCATATGCTGCATCTGTTTTTTAGAATGCATCCGATGTTGGAGTAGAATCTGACATTATCTTCAGAGATGACATCAATTGCAATATTAATCTGATGTATGGATCGTCCACAGTGAGTAAATGTGAATCTCTGTACACTATGTTGATAGAATCGTAATACACACACGTGACATATTCGAATTTGATATTAATACATTGACTGATGACTTTACAATGATGTCATAGCTAGAATATGAACTGATCAGGGAATCGAACTTTCTAAACTAAGGGAGCCCAAAATAAGATTTTAAAATTTTGAAATAGAATGTGATTTGCAGTACATCGACTTGGACAACGATAGACGCTGTATCTTCTCCGTACACCGTTTCCATTACTACACACATTTTATTATTTTTTTTATAAAAAAAGACGCATTTTATTCCAGCCTGTTAACATGTACCCAGCCAATGAACTTGGTTTTCACGACATAACGGGTAACGTATGGGAATGGATGGCAGATCATCTAAATGGATTCCCGGGGACGGAAACAAGCTTTCTATATGACGACTTTTCAGCTCCTTTACATGACGGTAAACACAACATGATGTTGGTAAGATACTACACTTTATCAACTGATAAATGTGCTGCTAAAATTCTGACCGAAATACCATTTGAATCGACATATATCATATGCGTCGTGATTTACGCGCGCAATGAAATGCGTCAACTGACCCACGTGGTAACGTACTTGGCGGATGACGGCGCGCGCCATTTGCCTCAGTAAGTCTGCTTCTGAATATCGTTTGTGCTATGTGTTTCATCATATTTCTCGACAGGATACGATAGTCAAATGATTCATTGATTTAGTCTGTTTTATCTCTGTATTATATATTATATATTACGGGAATATAGAAAAACATCCATAATATAGAGAGCAACTCACATATTTACAATTCTAACAGGGTGGCTCCTGGATCACTAACGGAACTACTGCATCCAAATATTGTAGAACCGGATACAGGCGCCATTTCTTTCAACATGCTGGCTTCCGTTTAGCAAGGTCTGTCACCACGGATGTGGTTTTACCATTGCGACTCATTAACACACCAGTGTTTATTTTAGGGCGAGGAGTTTCCAGTAAGTAGTCATTCTGTATATTATTATTATAAAAGAGACATAATTGTGGTGTGGACTGAAATTAGAATACTGAGTTGATGGTTGTATATACTATTATTATACATCTGTCTCCGGGGGGGTCACTCTATATGCCGTTACTACCCCATGTGCGTTCCAAATTTAGCGGGGAAAGGGGTGTTTTTCACCTTCTAAAGCGGACCCGCGCGGGAAGCAAATAGGCCCCTTTAAAATTCTAATGTCTGCAATACGCCCTCAGGAATAAACTTGCAACAACCACTCCCATACACCACCCTAGTCCATAGCTTGTTTGAGTTGATCACACCCCACTTGAGTGAAAAAAAACGGCAGAGAATGCTCGCAATAGAAGTAGGATGTTCTCAATATATGTCTGAAATAGGGGGTGTTTTTTTGTTTCAATATGTCTGCTTTAGGGGGTACTAAATTTACAGTGCGTCCGCAATAGGGGGTATGGTTTGCCAATGTGCTGCCAGCCCTAGGGGCCTATTATTTTTTAGCAAGAACGCACATGGTGTAAGGTTTTAATATAGATGACCTCCGGGGC